CCCCTAGGGGGCGGGCCCCACACTTTGGGAAGGTCTGTGCTAATAACACTTAAAAATGCTGATAAAGCAGAACAACGGAGGACCGGGCTGAAACTCAACCTCCTTTTTAAATGAGTAATGATTAAATATAATTAAAGAAGTTGAGGTTGAGATCAGGGGTGTCTGCCCTGGTGAGTGGGTGGAAATCAAAGAAAAACACAGAGTGCCCCCTCATATCACCTCTGAGTGAAGAGAGCCTGAACCCCCCCCCCCCGTACAGACCCATATAAATTAGACCTGTGGGCTGTGTTATGAAGCAGCAGAATAATTAGTCGGACACGCTCACTCTTTGTTTGTTTGTTTATTGACAGCGACAGCAGCCTCCATGCAGAACGAGGGAACAGTAAACCTGCACAGCCATGTGTGCTACTTGGAGCTCAGCTCTCACTGAGCTGGTATGTGTTCAGTTTTTTTTTCCACCGTCACAGTACAAACAACACGATGCACCGGTGCAGCTCAGACCTGCACCCGCAGTAATATAAAGTTCAGTCAGCGTCCAAAGACGCGAGCGTTGGTTTCATAATCAGTCTCATAGAAAAGAAAGAGTGACATCGCAGCACATTCATCTTTAGAAATATATACAATCTGATTGTAAACACGAAGAGGTAGACGAGCCATCTAGAAAAATAGAGCTATCTTACAAACATAGAACTCCTCGAATATAAAGATGTTCACATAAAAATAGCAGTCAAAACAAAGCACGACATTCTGACGTCTACATTTCTTCACGTCCTCATGCAGAAAAGTCACAGGTTGGTATTTTACAGGAGAAACCTCCCAGCGGGCAGCGGACTGCTCCTTTAACAGTCCACCACAGTAAGCAGGCAGGCGGGCGCAGACAGGAAACACGTCAGTGGCACCTGCGGTAGAGCCCTCTCCTGTGCGGCCCTGCTCACAGTCCAGCTGCAGGACCGCGCTTGCGCATGCGCCCTGAGAGGAACCAAAACGTGCACTTGGTAGTCCCCCGAACACCTGTAAACGCCTGGCACGTCCTCCTCCTCTTTCGGGTCCAGCCAAAATCGTCCACGATGTGACGTTATGTGGAAAGGTGTCTCGGACGCTTTCCGGTCGACGGTTCAAATCCTGAAGCTCTGAGTGAGCTCGTCTGCTGTTGTTCTTTGCTTTTAGACGCCAGGCGCGTTCAGGGCCAGGGAGTAGGCGGCCATCATCTGTGCGCGCAGCTGCTGCTTGACATGCACGCGCCCGTGCCTTTTTCTCTCGTCGCTGCGCGCGAACCTCTTTCCGCACACGTCGCAGGAGAAGGGCTTCTCTCCGGTGTGCGTGCGAGTGTGCGTGGTCAGGTGGTCGCTGCGGCTGAAGCTGCGCGCGCAGATGGTGCACTGGAACGGCTTCTGTCCCGTGTGGATGCGCACGTGCCTGTTGAGCTCGTCGGAGCGCGAGAAGCGGCGCTCGCAGCCCTGCACGGAGCACGGGAACGGCTTCGCCTTCGGCCCCCCCTTCGCGGGGGCTCGCCTGCCTCCGCGCGACAGCTTGGGGGCTGCTGCCGCGTGCACGCCGCCGATGTTGACTATCGGGAACACGCCCTGCAGGAGGGAGGAGAGCAGCTGGGAGTCGAGGGTTGAGGGGAGGGAGGAGGGGGCGCAGTGGAGATCGCTCCCGCTCTGCACGAG